ACTTTAGAGTACAGTTCCAGAATAGAGCAAAGAGATACCTGTGTTTACATGTCATTAGTAGCACTATTCACAATACTCAAATAGAATCAACTAAAGTGCTCATTAATGCATAAATAGATAAGCTATGGTATACTTGCATAATTGAGTAGTATCTAGCCATAAAAAAAGAAAGTAGTGGCTGGGAAGGTGGCTCAGTGGTAGAGTGCTTGCCTTGCATGCCTGAGGCCCTGGGTTCGATTCCTCAGCACCATATAAGCAAAAAGAAAAAAGCCAGAAGTGGTGCTGTGGCTCAAGTGGTAGAGCACTAGCCATGAGCTGAAGAGCTGAGGGACAGCACCCAGGCCCAGAGTTCAGGCCCATGACCGGACCCCTACCCCCAAAAAAAGAAAAGAAAAGAGGCAGGGTGCTGGTAGCTCACGCCTGTAATTCTAGCTACTCAAGAGGCTGAGATCTGAGGACCACAGTTCAAAGCCAGCCAGGGCAGAAAAGTCTGTGAGACTCTGATTTCCAATAAACCCCTAGAAAACCGGAAGCGGTGCTGTGGCTCCAGGGTAGAGCACTCACCTTGATCTGAAGAGCACTGGGACAGCGCCCAGGCCCAGAGTTCAGGTCCCATGACCAACAACAACAACAAAAAAAGGAATGGAAATGCCACTATTTCTAGCATGATGGATGAGTTTGGAAGGTATTTTGTCCTGTGAAATAAGCAAAGAGATAGAGAATATGCTCACTTGTCAATGTGGAAGCTAAAAGTTGATCACATAGAAGAAAAGTACAATGGTTACTAGAGGCTGGGAAGGGTAGCTAGGTAGGAAAAGGATGGTTAATTGATATAGGGATGCAGCTGGATAGGAAGATGAACTTTTAATGTCCTGCAATACAGGAAACAGCTGATCTCAATAAATTACATACTTCAAAATGACTAGTAGGATTTCAAATGCTTCCACACAAATAAATGATAAATGTTAGAGGTGACAGATATACTAGTTACTAAAATGCTAATTATACACTGTGTGAATGTTGTGAAGTATCATAATGAATCCCCCATAAATATGTACAAGTATATGGCAATTAAAAATGTAAAATGCCGATTCCAACCACTACACAGATTTCATGACTCCTCAAGAGGATTGTAACCTACTGCTTAAAAGCTGTGTTGCACTTGGAATTCACTCAAGTAACTCAGCCTGCTCCTTAAAATTGAAAAAAAAAGCAAGGAGTCTAAACTATTAATGGCTAAGTGTTGATAAGCCCTTTTGGTAATCACTAGAAAAAGTTAATGATTTCCTGGAAACATTAGCAGATCACACTTGACCATAGATGTTTTTTCCCAGTAAGGAACAGCAAGTAAAAAGTAAATGTTCCCTTAAGATCAGCCTGCTCTGAACTCAATAATAGGAAACATAAGACTTCAACACTGCAGCTCATGCAAAAAAATTTAATTGGAAATTAGTAATGCTATTAAGTAAGGCACAGAGGCACTGGCAGCTTCCCATAGGAAATGTTTGTGAACTATCATTAATTTTTTAGCCTGATAAAACTGCAGAGTACTGATAAATATGCTAGTGATAAAAATTAGGAATTGAAAACCATTTTAAGAAGATATTTTGAATACTCTGTCCTTCATTTGGTTACCAAATATTTAGTAATTGCTGCATGTCAATCATTACTTAATAGGTACATGGAAAGCCTCTGAACAGTTACAGAGTCCTCACAGCCAGGTGGCCTTTAGAGAGAGGACTGACTTGCAAATCATAAATCAGCGATGCAGACCTTGCTAGAGAATCCTTAGGCAGAGCACTGGGCACTAAAGTCCTCCAAAGCTGCTTCTCAGAAATTTGAATTAAATATGGTTTCCAGTAAAGACAACTAAAGCATTCTACTTTCAGATTTATACAAATTATTTTCCTATTAAACATGCTGTGACATTAACAGTATGTTCTAACCCACATTTAGACTAGTTAAAAAATACTATGTATAAGAGAAACAGAGACAGCATGGCATGAAGGATAACAATAAGACACACACCTCTAATCCTTGCTGCCTAGGAGGCTGAGATCTGAGGATCATGGTTCAAATCCAAAGCAAACAGGAAAGTTTCTGAGATTCTTATATCCAATTAACCACCAAAAACTAGAAGTCGAGCTGTGACTCAATGGTAGGCTGCTAGCATTGAGCAAAAAGGGCTGAGGGACAGAACCCATGCTGAGTTCAAGCCCCAAGGCCAGCATGTACAGGTGCACACACACACACACACACACACACACACACACACACACACACACATATACAAAAATTAGACCTACAGACACAGCAGAGGGGGAGTCACAACACACCTCTTAAAAGCTAAGTGAGTTAATCTCCTGAGCAACAGATTCATTACCTGCACTTAATATCTGGCTACTCCTGAGATCATTGAGAGTATAAAGTAAAGGTATCTGTGAAACACTTTTAAATGCTGTTGTGATTTTCCAGTTCTGGGGTTTGAACTCAAGTCTTCTTGCTAGGCATGTGTTCTATCACTTAAGCCATGGCTCCAGCCTCAATGATCACCTTTTGTAGAATCGATAAACATAGTAAAATTGTCAGGATAAAATGAACAAATATTAGGAAGGCATAGAGTTCACATTGGTCATATAATTAAAACTATTCTGTTTGTTTTTCATGTAGTCACTCAATGAAAACCTGAGAAAGGATCCAACAAGTGGTAGATTCTCCTTAAGTTTCAGAAACACTTGAGGCATTTGAATCTTGCTTGGCCAGCAAGAAATACAAAACAATCTACAGATTGTTAACTTTCTTTAAAGGACAAGAGTTCACATGACACCCTCCCCCCACTCAGGAGGCTTATTCACTCTTGGCATAGGCAAACCACAAATAGATGGCTCTTTCTGGGGTTCAAAGATTGTCTCCTTGGGGCTGATGCGGGAGAGCATGCCCAAGTCCTCCGCTAGTGGCACATGGCACAGCTAGCCATCCACATGACTACCATTGGTTCTGAGGTAAAACAGTTAATAGGGAAAATGTAGGCTTTCTATCCACCATCTTTCTGCATTCATTTCTATGATAGGAAACTATCTACCTTAGATAGAAATGCAGAATCCTGACTCTTAAAGGTAGAAGGTATAGACTGCATGCTTCCTATTGCCATGGTTGGTTAATATTCTGACGTCAACAATATTGAGGATGGCTGAAGGTGATAAGACCTGTAATATGGGATGTCTGTGGGTTGCTTTTGAAAAGGTCACTTACAAATGTATATCTCTGGAACCTAGAATGGATTTCTCCAAATGAATTTACAACTGGGTGACCAAAGACATCTAATCCACCCACACTGTGAGGAGTAGCAGGTTGGGAAACCTGTGTTACCTCTGCAGGACCCGTTTTGCCACAAAGGTGCCAAGTAGCCTCAGGCAATGTTGCAGAACATAAGCTCCGGATGGGCAAAGAACAGCGCTAGGCTCAAACCCTGCATTGCTGCCTGTGGGATAATGTCAGTGGAGTGATCAACCACCTTCCACTCTAAATGCCCACAACAGTCAAATCATTTCCCATCATGAAAATTCTTCTATCCAGGTGTGGTGTGAAGATACAGTAATCCAGATCAGTTTCCATAATCTTTTTTTCCATATCAAGAACACATAATGTGAAAACTAAACCCTGACGTATGATGCTGATCACAGTTCAAGGTGACCAGTCAGAGTCAGGTCTCTGGCCACTGGGGCAATCTATCTGGCCACTGGGGGGATCTATCTCTCTAGCAGACATGAGAGTCTATCAAGCAATACTATGGTGAGGCTCTGCTTACCAATTCATAAAGAGAGTGCCTAATGTAGGGGAGCACATTGTTAACCCTTTTGCCTTGTGGTTTTAGGGTCCAACTGTTAAATAAATGGGTATCTGTTGGGTCTTCGTCCATCCCACAAAAGACGGACGGGGTCCGAGGAAAGGTAAGTGTGGCGCTCGCCCGGCCGTTCCCTAGCCTCCCTCAGCCCAGAAGACAATCAGACACAGCAGGGAGCCAAATCCAGCAGGTAGAAAAACTCGTTTATTAACAGAGAGCAGCCCCCTTTAAAGACAAAAAGGGTGGGTGGTATGGTAAGGGAGGAAGAGGAACCAATCACTGTCAAGGTCACACCCTATCATTCACCTGAGCCTTCAGGGGCTGGTTAGGCACTGATCAGAAGATCCATTGGGGTCTGCCCACTCAACCCTCTCCCAGCACCATCTTGGCTGCCCATGTGCTCTACAGTAAATTAGGCTCTGCCCACTCAACCCCCTCCCAGTGCCATCTTTGCTGCCCATGTGCTCCACAGGTACCTTAGATTTCCAAAGGCCCTCTGTAATTCCAGTGCCTACTTGTGCTCAGAGTGAGTTGTCTTTAGGAAACTGTCTGGTTTCAATCTTGCTTACTGTAATTGCTCTTACTACCAGGTCTGAACAAAAGAACGAGACCGTAGGCTAGAAGTGGGTTGTCAAGATAAAGATTGGTTGTGTATAAAAGTGCAGGTGGGAGCCAGGCACCGGTGGCTCATGCCTGTGACCCTAGCTATGGTGGCTCATGCCTGTGACCCTAGCTACCTACGATGGCTCACAGCTGTAATCCTAGCTACAGTGGCTCAAGCCTTGGATCCTAGCTACAGTGGCTCACGGCTGTGATCCTAGCTACTCAGGAGGCTGAGAGCTGAGGATCATAGTTCAAAGCCAGCCCAGGCAGGAAAGTCTGTGAGACTCTTATCTCCAATTAAAACCACTAGCAAACCGGAAGGGGCACTGTGGCTCAAGCAGTAGAGCACTGGCCTGGAACTGAAGAGCACAGGGACAGGGCCTAAGCCCCGAGTTCAAGCCCCATGACCCACAAAAAAAGAAAAAAAAAATGCAGGTGGGAGCAGAAGAAAGGTCAGGAATGAGCTGTGTGAGTACTCCCTGTGCTCAGCACTTCTATCTCCATGGCTACCTTGGTTTCATTTTGTTTTAATGAGAAAGCAACACAGTTTGGCATGCATGTTTTATTAAGAAGTGTGTTCAAATAGCCATCTCTACATGCTCTTCCCTAAAGAAGCAAACAAAGGGCAAACTAGCCAGCTCTGGACCCCTTGATGTTCCCCTTGGCCTTCCTCTCTTTCTTCTCAACTGGGTGGCTTGCTTCTTTAAGATCATCTTGATTGTGGGTTATTACTAGATACATTTCATAACTGAAGAAATGTAGAGTTAAAGGAGTTTAGAAAACATAGCCAACGTTATACACCAGAGTTAATTTTTTTTGTCTGTCATGGGACCTGAACTCTGGGCCTGAGCGCTGTCCCTCAGGTCTCAGCTCAAGGCTAGTGCTCTACCACTTGAGCCACAGTGCCACTTTCAGGCTTTTTTTGTTTATGCAGTGCTGAGGAATGGAACCCTGGGCCTCAGGCATGCAAGGTAAGCACTGTACCACTAAGCCACCTTCCCAGCCCACCAGAGGCAATTTTTAACATGAATGTTCTATTGGTGGGTAAGAGGTTCAGCTTGAAATGGCCAGGGCACAGGATGGGTTGGAGGTATCTTGGAAGTGGATGGGAGCTCAGGTATACCCAAATTCTGCTTCCTTAATTACTTCCTGACAGAGGTGAAAGGGATATGATTGCTCTGTACCTGGTGGGAAGAGAAGACAGTATGTGGGAGAGGCAGTTCATAACCAGGTGGGGGCAGCAGGAAGTAGGGCTTCCATGAATAGTGCATTCTCCTGAGGAGTCTACTAACAGGCCCTCCCAGACCAGATTAGAGGTAAAAAGCAGTTTGATTAACTGTAAATGTAACTTTGATCTCCTCAATTAACCTCTGATCCTGAAAAATGTTTCCAGAAAACTTTCCAAGCACACATGACAAGCTAGGTTGTAGCTCTGTGGTATGATGTGGCATATGCAGTACATGTGTCTGTGCTTAGTATGTAAGAGGCTTTAGGGTCCATCACTAGCACACCCACACACACACATACACAGACACACACACAGACACACACACAGACACACACAGACATACACATCATAAACAGACCATATAAAAATCGCAGAGGCCACATAATGAATGTGGAAGGAAGGAGCCCTGTTTAGCAGTAATAAAATAATGAATGCATTCTACTACAAAGGGAAGGAAAGAGAGGAAGGAACAGGAGCCAAATGAGCAATGGCCCCCCCAGAGGATAGTGTGACTTTTGTAGAGTACAATTGCCACAAAGAATATAATTTGCTTTAGTAATATGGTTTTTCATTTGGTTTCCAAGACTTGTCAGAGAACTAGGGAGTAATACACATACATTTAACATACTAAATTTGTATACATGATTTCTTTGCAAAAGCATGGACAAATGTCATATGAATCACTGTCTGTTGACCTAAAAAGTGCTACCAAATTATACTGATCACACCATATCAGAAGACCCTGGAGTGATCCAAACTAAATCTACCTGGTAGTAAGACCAGTCCATTCTTCTATTTAGAGTTGCCCATATATCATAAGTAAAGATGCATCACAAGTAAGACCCTCAAATTCTGAATTCCAATTTAAAATTATTAAAGCAAGATACTTTTGTCTTTTTTTTTTCTATTTTCTGGAGGCAGGGTCTTATAATATAGCAAAAGCTGGCCTAGAACTTACCATGTAACCCAAGCTAGGCTAGACTCTCCATCTTCCTGCCCCACCCCCCCAAGGGCTGAGCTTTCAGATTTCTACCACTTCAAAGCTACAGTAATTGATTTCATTTTTGGTGGTGATACTGAAGTTTGAACAGGAGACATTCTTTTCTTTGGTCAATTGTGGGGCTTGAACTCAGGGCCTAGGCGCTGTCCGTGAGCTTTTCTGCTCAAAGGTAGCACTCTATCACTTTGTGCCATCGCTCCAGTTCCAGTTTTCTGGGGATGATTGGAGATAAGGGTCTTAATGACTTTTACTGCCCCACCTGGCTTCAAACCAAAATCCTCTGATCTCAGCCTCCTGAGTAGCTAGGATTACAAGCATGAGCCATCAGTGCCTGGCTGAGACCCTGTATTTCTGAGGCAAGTATTCTACCACTTGAGCCAGTCCTTCAATCATTTTTGTTTTTGGTTCTTTTTCAAATCTGCCGTGGGCAAGCCAGAAACACTGTCCTACTAGCTAAACTTCCTGAGGCAATTAGATAGGATGTAAACTCTAATGTTCTGCTTGTTTCTTGGGATGTCACGCTAGCACAGAGTGACCAAGAACTATAACCTCCACCTCCCAAACTAAATTACAGACGTGAATCACTGCACCTTGCCTAAAGCAAGGTCTTTTAAATTTAGCTGTGTTTTCCTAGATGAGAGAGGAGGCGGGGAGATCCCACAAAGTTTTGATAAAAAGATTATTTACCAAACACCGTCATTCAATGTTTATGAAACCACATGATAAGATAGCACACAATGAACACTTTGACTGTTTAACTACTGTGAAGGAAAGAAAACCCAAGGGAAGGAGAACCGGTTTGAAAGCAATTTTAGGATTTCTGATACATAACTTTGGTGGCTGGCCAAATACCAGGGAGAATTTTCCTTCCAATTTCCTTTGAACAGCGGTAGAGATTTATGTAAGGCAGTGTAATTTAGTTGAGGAAAAACCGTGATTATGTCAGTTTGGCCTTACCCTTGAACTGACTTTACATTCTCTTGAGAGCTTGCTTGGCCTGCCCTGAAGTACTCAGTTCCAGAAAAAAATCTGCCCTATGCTATTAGAAAGAGTTTTTCAAGTACATTCCATTGGTAATGCTGATGGTTCACCAGGAGGCACTTGAAAAGATTAACGCTTTGGTTGTCTCCTTTGTTTTTTATTTTGAACTTTTGTGTTGTTTGTTTTTTGGTACTTTTAGTTTGTTTTATTTTGATCACTGCACAGCTAAACTACAGTCTGCCTGCCTGCCTGTCTCATATGCACTCTCGTATTTGCTCATGACAAAACATACTGACTGTTTTAATGGCACTAATAATTTTGTTGTCCTTGTTCTACTGTCCCTGTGAAAGTTTCCAAGGTCACACTTAATGATTTTTTAATGTTTTTCTTTTCATTGTTAGAATATTTTTCTGAAAAGGCCTGGGAAGGAGGACAAATTTTATTATTTCTGAGTTGAAAAAAAAAACTATGTTATTTTTCAAGAACAGTATTAGTTTGCATTCTAGTTAAAGGGGTTCCCTTTTACATTAGGGGCAAGAAATTCACACTGAGCAAGTTGTTCATGAGCCGATGGTTACCCTTACAATTATAATCATAAATTCACTTTCAGATTTAGATCAGAAGACACTATGGCTTTTAAATGTCAATATGTAGGGCTTGTACAGGCTAAAAAGAAGGCAGAAAGAAATAATCCTTAACTTAAATTCACATCTTATACCAGAAAAACTCAAAATAACCTGGAGACATATAAAGTGAAATAATAAAAAAAAAACCTTTAGAAAAAACACACAAATGTTATAGTTTGATGTCAAAAGCACAGTTCATAAAAGGAGAAAATGACAAATTAAACCATATCAAAATTTAAGACTTTTTGCTCTGTAAAAGACACTGTCTAAAGGAGGGGAAAACAAGCTACATACTGGCACAAAATACCTGCAAACCAGCTATTAATCATTTATGAGGACTATCAGTCCTCATGAGGATTAATAGCTGGTAATGTACAAAGGACTCTCAAAATTCAACAGTAAGAAAACGATTTACTCTAAATTCCCTATTTTTCTGATGTCGCATCCATTATTATATACCTGACTTCTTTTCCCAACTTTGTTACTTTCTGTCGTCCTAACAGCGGGGGACATTTCACTGCAATGAGTAGTTTTAACTCTTGCTTTTCAGAAATCCTCATTTATAATTGTGATTTCTAACTGGAGCATGTCCTTGGGAGATAGCTCTATAATTGGATCCTGACTCTTTGCTACATAAATGGACAAAGTACTTCCAATCTTAGTTACCTTATTGATAAGTTAAGGATAAAGCCACCTGTTTCACAGGCTTATTTTGAAGATACTTACACACAGTAAGCCCTTAATTTTTTTTTCTTCTTTTTCTCATTAAGAACTAAAATGCAGCTTGATTTTGGGATAAATACCTTGACCAAAAAAAAAATCTTTAGTTTTAGTTCCAAGGCTTCTTTCTATTTGGAAAACAGGAAATATATCTCTAAGGAGTATAGACTGTGGGTTAAAGTGAGGCTTGAAAATTGTGGATGAAGTGAGACTAAATTTAGTTCTTAAGAATTTCAATTTAGGGGGCTGGGAAGGTGGCTCAGTGGTAGAGCGCTTGCCTTGCATGCCAGAGGCCCTGGGTTCGATTCCTCAGAACCACATAAGCAAAAAGAAAAAAACCAGAAGTGGCACTGTGGCTCAAGTGGTAGCATGCTAGCCTTGAGCTGACGAGCTGAGGGACCGCTGTCCCTCAGCTCTCCAGGCCAAGAGTTCAGGCCCCATGACCGGACCCCAAAAAAAAAAAAAAAGAATTTCAATTTAGGAGAACACAATGATTATTTTAAGCCCATGTTGTCTAAGTCTGGGAAGCATAGCATAGCATTTATTATGATAAACCAATGGCAATCATATTGGTATTTAACTGCATATAGTAAGCCAAGGCAATCAAATACTAAGAAATAAATGTATATATTTAGACAAGCTCAAGACTGAAAGAAAAAACACTTTTGAATCAAATGATGCTGTTTCACGCATTTCACCTCCCTTCAGAAATACTTTTTAAGAAATGAACTCCCCCCCCAAAAAATGAACTCCCCACACGGTGATAAGCTTTGAATATGTCAGAGATTTTCAGTTATAGGTCAGCTAATTAAGCTACTGAATGGTAAGATCTAAACACCTATGATTTGAATTTCAAGGTAAGCGCTGAACATGGATCTCAGAGCTATGTGCAGGTCAGTCATGACAGTTGGGTTCTCTGGGCAATACTAACCTGAAAAAACTGACAAAGATGGAAAGCGGAGAAGCAAGTGTTATTCCTCTCATATTAATGTTTAAAAGCACAAGGGAAAGTATACTTAACTTTTGCTGGTTACTTGCTCTACTTATGAACAGTCATAAAACACAAAGTACCAAGGAATACTTGAAGACAAACTCTTCTCAAATATTCTTTTTAAACCATGGATATAAATTTGCAGAATGAGTGCTTACCTAGCAAAATAGCTTTGTTTTCGTTCCTTCTTCTCCTCCTTGGTATCCATAATACACAACCAAAAGTACAAAGTATTTGGAAAAGTTCTTCTTTTTAATCAATGACTCATAGCCCTGTAATTAAAAAATAAGAAAGCAACTATAAGTGAACAAGTTTATAATGGCCAATGTGAAGAAGAAAGCAGAGTAGAGTTACAGGACCCAAAACAAATGAAAGATAAACTTTAACCAGGAAACACAGTCACATGAGTCCAATACAAAATGTAAATGCTCCCTGGAAGGGGTGGTACAGGGAGGCAAATCACAAAACTACAATTGGAATTAAACCACAAGTCAGAATGTTGATGGAAAACCAATCCAAAGTACTTTCCTCAAAATTAACACTTATTTCAAAATGGACCCAAGAAAATTTATACTGACATTGGAAAATTATAGGCTAACTTTGTAGATGCTACTTATTTTTTAAAATAATAAACTCATCATCACTCTTTCCAAGTAACTAATAATGAACATGTCTCATAGACAATTACGTGGCATGGCTCTCTTAGGTGTTTGACAAGAATAATAAAAATAAAAATTACTTTGGTGATCTGTTTTATTTTGGATTAACACCCCAGCCAGAACATTCCATTTGAGCAAATGTAGAAACGAAAGGACAAGGATCAGGAAACCACTCTCCTTCCGGGTGTGTTCTCAATTCCCTGCTTCCTCTCTCCACTGATCTCCTCACATATGCTTACTAGCCAAGGTTTCAACCATTAATGAACGCTGTCTCCAGCTCCAAACTCCTTATACACCACTCTCATTGTGTCTACCTATTGCCTGCTTCAATCTAAATTTCCTGCAGAATGTTTACACTCCTGTACCCATCCTTTCACCTTGAAACAAAAGCATTTTCACAAATCAAATTTTAGTATTTTTAAGGTGGCAAAGAACATTCATGGATCAAAATTATTTCCTGAATTCATTAAACAATGCAATCCTAATACATAGTGCATGAAAAGTACTGTGATAAGTACCAGAGCTGCAGGATAATGGGACATGATATTTGGTCTAATGGAATTTATTGTCCTGTGAGAGAGACACAGGATTTCAAGGTAATGAGATAAGGGCTGTGCTGGAGGAGACACAGAATGCCACTGGAGTCTCCAGAAGGAACAATTAGCTCAATGGAGACATTCAACTACGTACATATTTCAAAATACCATGCGATATATAACAAAAATACATAATTTTACCTGTCAACTAAAAAAGTAAACTTTTAAGAAAGAATACTTAGTCATAATACTCAATGCTACCTTCCCTCACCCACCAAGCTTATGAGTATGGGCTTCCCAAGTAAAGATCCAGCTTGATCAAAAGCAAGGCGATACAAGAGTTCCCCATTGCTCCTGATAAAGTGTGAAGCAAAGGTATGGTGTGAGCTGAAGACAAAGGCTCAGAAAGGAACAGAGCCATAGAAGACCTTGTATGTCTGCTAAGCAGCTAAAACTTAGACATTATCTCCCACTGACTAATCCTACACTGCAGCTTGTTTGTCATCACCAAATGAGGATGCTGGACCGACAGCAGCACTTGCAAACAGTCACTACCAAATCTGGCAGAGCCAGTTCTGAGATAAAACCAATTTTCTCATCACACACACACACACACACACACACACACACACACACACACACACACACACACACACACACACACACACACGGAAATCATCAAAGGGTTTCATAGGAGGGATTATGACATAATCATAATATAAAGAATTCAGTTGGTAGGATCAAGAAAGTAGCCTCATGAGAAGTTATAGTAAATTACTTAAGGCTCCAACCTCAGAACCAAGAGATAACACAGAGAGGTATGAGTGCAAGAAGTATTTAGAAGGCAAATAGATTATTTCATAAAAACAACATAGGAGGAATGAAAACCACCCTCCAAGATTCTGCAGTGACAAGGCAGATTATGACAGCAAAGATACCATGAAATAGCATGAAAAGGACAGACTGGGCATGGAATAGAGAAGACGGAGATTAGAAATCAGTTGTGAACATGTTATCTTTGTGGTGCTCATTCAAAGTTAAAATTCAGCAGACATTTTATAACATCAAAAATTCAGAAGCCAGGTGTTTGTGGCTCATGCCTGTAATCTTAGCAACCTGGGAGGCTGAGATCTATGGACTAAGGTTCAAAGCCAGCCTGGGCAAGAGCAGCCGGCCATGAGACTCTTACCTCTAATTAACTACCAGAAAGTGAAGCTATTACTCAAAACGGTAGAGTACAAACCTTGAGCAAAAGTTACTCAGTGACATTACTCAGGACCTGAGTTCAAGCCCTATGACCAACAAAATAATGACACTAATAACAACAATAATAATAATCTGAGAGAATAAGGAAAGCTAGAGAGAAATTAGACATTATCAGCATATGGTTGTAGTTAGAAAGAAAAGAAAAACAATAACATGATGATGAGATCACTTTGAATGCTTGACAACTACCCATAAGGCCCTGCATAGAAACAATGGAAGACACAGTAACAACACAGGCTTGTTCACAAAAAATACGGGCTCGGCCCTCAAGGAGTTTATGACCCAGTGGGGAAAAGACACAGCAGATAAACTCTAAGATAGTAACTGAGAGCTGGACAATGAATAATAGTAAAAATCTAGAACACAGGAAGTCCAAATTTAATTGAGATGTGTAATGAAACAAAATTTTCAGGGCAATTAGGGTTTCAATATGTAAAGAAGAGAGAGAAAAAGAATTGCATAAAGATGGATTATCTAAAAGAGCAGGGCATAGTCAGACCAGCAAGACAGTGGCTATTGGTACAAGCACAGAGATACAGGACTAGAGATAGAGAACTAGACATAAAGGTTAGCCACAAACCTGTAAGGGGAACAACCATACAATGATTCAGAAACCTTTATTTCTAAGAAGCTGAAACAGAAATGCCAATTCATTTCCCTAATTCAACAGTACTAGCTACACTGAACCCATTTGGGGGCACATTCTTGTCTTTCCACAGAAGGCAATTGAAGATGGGTTAGAAAAGTAATGGGGCCAAGTTTACAATGTCCAGTACCTCAGCATAGACCCTATGGGTGGGAGCAAACGGAGTTAAAGTCATTGAGGAGTCATTGAAGATCTCCAACAGCACTGTATCAATGGAGGAGTAGGAGTAGAAGCCAAGCAATTTGAGGTAGGTAATATTCATTCAAGGGTCTGAATGATGAAAGAAGGAAAAGGAAAGATCATGGCTGAGTGTTCTCCTCTCCTGAGTCCCATCATTGTTTGGATGCATTGACCTCCTCAACTCTGGATCAATTAGAAATATCTTTCCCCAACCCTGACATCATTTGCTGTTCCCTCTCTTCCCTAATTCTACTTGACAACACCCCTGACCAATTGTGTACTCTCTCTCTCTCCCTCTCTCCTTTTTCCACTTGATATCTATACTTACTGAGAAGTACTTACTAGTGCCTGGTGAAACAAGGCCTCCTCACTTAGCTTCCTCAACTCTAAGAACAAGTTGCCCTCAAGGCAAACACCCCCATGTTTCATATGCTCCTTGTACTTTCCTAAACACCTGACACCACACCACTGGTACCACAGTATATAAAAAATCCACATCAAAGCTAAACAAACAGTTAAATTAAACCAGACTTGGGGATAAAGTCAGTTATAGGACAGACCAATACAAATTGAAGGACTCCTCTGAATGAAGAAGTATTGGAACACACAGGATATCGCCTTTGCCAGACTCCTCAGATTTCTGAAAGGATTAGAATCCACATCTCTCTGCCCTGCTGTAGGCCAAGTGGTTTGTTTTGAAGTTTCTCTTCTGTGTGATACAAATGATCTGTTTATTAGGTTTCTCCTCATGAATAAAAATGAAGTCATAACAACCTAATTGGATTTTTTTATATTGCAAGCTGAGCCAGAAACTAATGTTTGATTCCAGGAAAAAAATATTGACAGAAAGGAACAAAAGAAAAAAGAGTAAATGATCCAAGAACTGACATCTGGTGCTGCTGTGTCTATTTAGAACTCATCGGGCTTTTTTAAATATATATATTCTTTTAGATAAATTTTAAAAAACATGGTAATCTTTCACTTCCTTTCTGTGTAACTTTTTTAATTCCTTAAACAAGACAGATGTAGTCCTTGCAGCCAGAAACACACCAGTAGATTAAACAGAAGTAGGTAGAGAGAGGGTGCTATAAAAATGATTTGCACAGAACAGAACACCATACAGCAGCCTTCATGCTTCAGTGCAGAACCAAAGCTCTTTAAATCAATTTCTAATGGGAACTACATTTTCCATTGTAAGTGGTTATAATGGGCTCTTAAAAGCCTTCAGTTCATTTAATGTTGACTTTTCCACACATCAATTTACGCTAGACTCATCCAAACAGTAACTTAGAAGAGTTTCCTGCATTGATGGTGTATATAGACCAAAAGGAATTGTATAAGGGAACACAGGATGGATCTGTCTAAACATTCCTTTTTGCAACCTTAAATCAGAATAGTCAATTAAATTAAATTCAGATAGTTATTGGGCAGCCAGGTAATCGTGTCTCATAAATAATCCTAGTTACTTAGGAGGCCAAGTTATGAGAATTGAGGTTTGAAGTTAGTCAAGGTAGACAAATCAAAGAGACTCTTATTTCTAATTAACCAACATAAGTGAAAATGGAGATATGGCTCAAGGGGTAAGGTGCTAGCCATGAGCCAAAAAGCTGAGCAAGGTCCAGAGTTCAAGCTCTAGTACCAGCACAAAGAAAAAAGAAATAAAAGGCACATGAGAATGGGCCTCCCCTCTAAGACATGCATTTTGTATTAAAATGGAAGTGTTTTCTTTTTGACAACACAGCACTGTTTAAAGAGAATTTAAGCAGAGAACTTCAGAGACCTCCTTACTGCATCAAACCAGTATGAACTATGCAGAACAAGGAAGGGCCTGAACTCCACAGCTCCCTGAACTTACTTCTAACCTGTCAGGGCTAATCTAGGGTATCTATCAGCTGTTTTCCCAATAACATATTTCCTACAAAACAAATCAATGACAGGAACACACATTGAAGCTTTATTGTTCTAAGTTTGGCCAGTTGCTCCAC